CAGTCCTGATATAAACTAAACCTGCATAAAGATCTTTCTTTTTTAAATAAATCATTTTAATCACTTTAAATCAGCTCCCAGGTTAAAAACAATTAAATAATCTTTTAATCTGAGATTAAAAGCCTGCAGCGAGCGCTCGTTCACTTCCAGCTTTCCTGCGTCTCAGAGGAAGCTGCCATTTCCCACCGGCATCAAACGCATCGCTGTAGTTTTRAATCGACTCTGAGGTCATTTTATTCCCATCTGGATTCACAGCTGCTGCTTCGTCTAATTACTGAGTTCCACTCAGAACAGATGGTTTTACAGGAACCTCCTGGACCCTTCAGGATCAGAACAGAAAACAGGAACTGAACCAGGATCTGGACCTGTACCTCTGCTCCACCACGGACTTCAGATGTTCGTTTTCGCTCTTCAGCTGAGCGGCTTCTGGGCCCACGTGGGAGATCTTCTCATCGTCCGTCCCGTTAAAGCTGGACGCCTGCTCGGYTGAAGGCGTGTCTCGCCCGGACTCCTGCAGGAGACGGATAAAAACTTCACCTACAGCTAATGAAACAAGTCCTTCTCAAACACGTAGACTAGTCCTGGTCCTGGAGGACCTCGAACCTGCAGGGTTTAGATGTTTTCTGCAGAATTCTGTTCGGTCAAAACAGAAAAACCTCTAAAACCTGCAGGATGGAGGTCCTCCAGGACCTGGATCAGGACMAGACACCCCACGACAGCAGCGGTTCCCAGTTTGACCCAGCAGGTCTGTGGGTCTCAGGACTGAGTTTGATTCCTGGTCCATAAGCAGGACTGATCTGGTCTTTGGTAAAACCCCTCAGACAACCGTTGACTTTTATTTTGAAAGCAGTTCAGCTGACATTCAGTTTCTCTCTGAAGCCCAGCAGTTTTCCTCTCTGCAGCAGCAGGAAGTGACCATATAAGGCAGTCAGGTGTGTTTGTTTACCTGAGAGTGATTACTCAACGTCTCTCCCTTCTCTTGAGATTTGTCCCTCGCCAGCTTGGCTGCTTCTTTTACTTCCTGGAACTTCTCTGCAAACTGAAAATAAAAAGATCAGATCCTGTTAAAGATCTTTAAATCAGATCTGCGAAGTGTTGAAAACGATGACGTTCATCGTGACGACGRCTCGTTTGTGGTTCAGAATCATTCGTTAAAATCTGCAGGAAAGATTTTGWGACGTTCAGTTTTACCTTCGACAGCTGTTGCTCTGAGGCGAAGCCCAGTCCGAACACGGTGTTGGCCCGGCTGTCGGCCCACTGACCGAACTTCTGTGACGTCTTGGTGAAGGTCATGTTGGGGGTGATGGTGCTGTTGATGATAACCTGTCAGCAGAAAAACTGATTATTACACCTGTTCAACCTGCTCCACCAGCTGGTCCTCGGGGGCCTTTAATGATGACTAAAGAAGTCTTTGATTGGACTCGTGGTCAGGTCACGGAGGCAACAGGTCCAGGAAGCGTTTCAGAGGAGCTGAGGATTTTATTCAATAAAACATGACGTCTCAGTGGCTTTCAAACCACCAAACTCATTAAAACAAACTGTTTAACTCCAAAGATCCAGTCCCCCGGCCCAGACGGAGTAATATAGTGTATGCTGTTAAGTGTCAGGAGGACTGTGGTCAGTTATACATCGGAGAAACAAAACTGCCACTGTTCAAAAGAATGGCCCAACACAAAAGAACTACACCATCGGGCCAGGACTCTGCAGTTTACACTCATCTACAGGCCAGGAGTCTACAGTTTACACTCATCTACAGACCAGGACTCTGCAGTTTACACTCATCTACGGGCCAGGACTCTACAGCTTACACTCATCTACGGGCCAGGACTCTACAGCTTACACTCATCTACGGGCCAGGACTCTGCAGTTTACACTCATCTACGGGCCAGGACTCTACAGCTTACACTCATCTACGGGCCAGGACTCTGCAGCTTACACTCATCTACGGGCCAGGACTCTACAGCTTACACTCATCTACGGGGCAGGACTCTACAGCTTACACTCATCTACAGGCCAGGAGTCTACAGCTTACACTCATCTACGGGCCAGGACTCTACAGCTTACACTCCTCTACGGGCCAGGAGTCTACAGTTTACACTCATCTGTGAACAGGGGTAATCAGGGTCGTAACGACGGTTACATTTTTCTACCTGGATTGTTGCATCAGGACTTCCTGTCCCTTGTTCCACAGCTGACTGCTGACCCACTAACATTTCAGACTTTAGTCTATATTTGTCTCAGAACCTGTTCTGTTTGGTGACCAGCTCAGACCTTCGTCCTTCAAAACGAGACGTCGACCCACATTTTCCTGTTTCAGTCCTCGCTGCAGGACAGATGGTTCCAACGACGACTCGTCTCAGGTGTTTTAATAAATCACCTGTGAACAGGTGAAGGTGAGCCTCAGGGATGGATTCCTTGTTTCAGAAAAGGACTTTTGTTGCAGTTTTGACCTCAAACAAAACTAAAAACCACCTGCTTCTGTCTGAAACTGAAGCTTTTTGTGAGGCGAGACAAAAAACTCAGAGCTACTACAAGTGCGACAGATGAGACAGATGTGTTTTTTTAAACCCAAACTAAACGGTCAGTCGTGTTTTAAATGAACTATTCGCTCCAGCGATGCCAGAGAAGCAACACGTGTTCGTTTCCCCCAACAATTAAAGAAACGAGTCGACAGACAGAATAATCACAGAGCTGCTCTGGTTTCGTAGCAACATGTTCTCTGAACACAAACTGCTGACAGACTCGTCTCCTTCACTGAGGATCAGAATAAAGAAACAAACCGAGAAGCTTCATCATCCAACAAGCTGAGCTTTATTAAACCGTTCACCTGAGGAGGAACCGAAACAACTCCAACGTTTGAGTTTCAAACAGAACAGTTTCCTGCTTCAGGTCACAGATTAGAAACAAACAAAAATACAAAAATACAGACCCGTTCAAAAAAACTAGAGTATCATGAAAACGTTTAATTTCCATAACTTCAATCAAAAAGTTAAAACTTTTATAAGTTATAGATTCAGGTCCACAGTTTAAAAGATTTCAAGWATTTCTTTGTTTTTACAGAACTTGGGCTTCCAGCTCATGAAATCCATGAAAACAGGAATTCAAAAAGTTAGAAAACTGTGGAGAAGTCAGCCCAAACTACTGCTCAGTTTTAGCAGAAAAACAAAAAGAAATTAGGATCACATCAAATCAATGAAAACATGGTCCTTTAAAGACCGTATCTCAATCTTTAATAGTTGGTTGGGAATCCCTTTGATTGATCACTGCCTCGATACAACATGACACAACCAGCCTGGAGTTAAAGAAGACCAGATCTGCTGGGTGCTCGCTGTCAGCTCTTCTTTGTTGTTGGGTCTGGTGCTCCTCAGGTTCCTCTTGAGAATACCCCACAGATTCTCAAAGGGGTTTAGGCCCGGCGAGTTGACTTGGACCACTGATCAGTCTTCTCCTCGGCCCAGATGAGATGTTTCCCACGTTGGCTCAGGTGTAGACCATCTCGCTGTGACTCCTGTGATTCTTTCTGGATCTCTGACAGATTCTTCAGTCTTCTCTGGTTGATAATCCTCTGAAGCCCACGGTCATCTCTTCKGCCACATTTTGCTCTTCCACTGGACTCCATTGATCTACCTGGACACAGCWGCTGACCCATCGTATGGAGGGCATCCATGGTGGTCTTCTGACCAGTTAWTAGGTCTGCAGTCTTCCCCATACTGAACCAAACTGAAGCAAACACACCTGGGGAAACCTGTGCAGGTGCTTTGAGTTTAGTAGATGATTAGTGCCCTCACTCAGAATTTGAGCTGATTTCTCCACTGTTTTCTAATTTTTCATTTTTCATGGGTTTCATGAGCTGGAAGCCCAAATTATGTAAAACTAAACAAATACTTGAACTTGTTTAAACTGTGGCCCTGAATCTATCACCTAAGAAAGTTTAACTTGTTGAATATAATCGTGGAAATTAAACTATTTTCCATGATATTCTAATTTATAGAAAGGGTCTGTAA